AGCATCATCATCACCATCATCATCATCCTCATCATCATCAGCATCAGCATCAGCATCAGCATCAGCATCATCATCAGCATCATCAGCATCATCATCACCATCATCCTCACCATCATCAGCAGCAGCATCGCCATCATCATCATCATCATCAGAAGTATCATCAGCGTCATCAGCATTAGCATCATCATCATCACCATCATCATCTTCATCATCCTCATCATCATCAGCATCAGCATCATCATCATCGCCATCGTCATCGTCATCGTCATCAGCATCAACATCATAAGCAGCAGCATCAGCATCGTCAGCATCGACGTCATCATCACCATGATCGGCATCATGAGCAGCATCGCCACAATCGTCACCATATTCATTACCACAACCATCCCCGCCATCGCCATCACCATCGGCAACACTTCAGCACACCCAGCACAGCGCCTCGTGGCCCCATAGGGAGCTCCACCGAAGGCCCCAGCGGCGGTGTCCACATGCGTCTCCCCCACCCAGCACTGCGCTTCGTGGCCCCATAGGTAGCTCCACTTAAGGCCCCAGTGGCACCGTCCGCATGCGCCTCCCCCACCCAGCACAGCGTTGCGTGGCCCCATAGAACGCTCCACCGAAGGCCCCAGCGGCGGTGTCCACATGCGTCCCCCACCCAGCACAGCGCTTCCTAACCCCATAGGGAGCTCCACCGAAGGCCCCAGCGGCGGTGTCCACATGCGTCTCCCCCACCCAGCACAGCGTCTCGTGGCCCCATGGGGAGTTTAACCCAAGCGCCCCAGTGGCGATATCCACATGCACCTCCCACCACCCAGCACAGCGCCTCGTGGCCCCATTGGGAGCTCCACCTGAGCGCCCCAGCGGCGGTGACCACATGCGCCTCCCCCACCTAGCTCAGCGCCTCGTGGCCCCATAGGGAGCTTCACCGAAGGCCCCAGCGGCGGTGTCCACGTGCGTCTCCCCCACCAAGCACTGTGTTCCGTGGTCCCATAAGGAGCTCCACCTAAGGCCCCAGTGGCGGTGTCCACATGCGTCCTCCCCCGCCCAGCAGAGCGTTGCGTGGCCCATGGGGAGCTCCACCTGAGCGCCCCAGTGGCGGTGTCCACATGCGCCTCCCCCATCTAACATGGCCCTATAGAGAGCTCCACCGAAGGCCCCAGTGGCACCGTCCGCATGAGTCTCCCCCGCCCAATGCAGCGTTTCGTGGCCTCTTAGGGAGCTCCACCAAAGGCTCCAGCGGCGGTGTCCATATGCACCTCCCCCACCCGGTACAGCGTCTCGTGGCCCCATGGGGAGCTCCACCTAAGGCCCCAATGGCGGTGTCCACATGCGTCCCCCCCCCGCCCAGCACAGCGATCCGTGGCCCATAGGGAGCTCCACCAGAGGCCCCCGTGGCAAAATTCGCACGCGATCCCCTCACCAGGTACAGCGTTTCGTGGCCCATCAAGAGCTCTACTGAACGGCCCCAATGATAAGGTTCGCATGCGTTTCCCTCACCCAGTATACAACGTTCCGTGGCCCACAGGGAGCTCCACCGAAGACGATACCCACCACTGCAGTACTCACAACTGCACATGGCTGGGTCCTGCGCCAGGCTAATTTAGCAGCATCGCACAGCTTCTGCAATTAGTTGTGGAAGTGCGACCTCAAATCTCACAGGGATGGTCCCAGAATGCGCCCTGGTGTTGTTTCCGCGAAGGCACCTTTGATCTAGCAAAGCTGCCAGAACGATATGGAAGCCATGTCTCTGGGGGGTCCAAGTAAGACTGGAGGAGGAGAGCATTTACGTCGCCACTAAGGGTCCTGAACGCACAGAAGCAGTCACTGTGTCATATCACTTGGACAAGGTTGGGAGGTAAGACACATTGCACTCATGCAGGGAGATTAGCACGCAAGGCGAAACCTACCAGAACAGCTGCTCCGCCATCTGCTATCTTTGGCGGATTCAATGTCCAGTGCCCCTCCCAGCGTCTGGCCCCACGCGGCTCAGAAAGTATCCAAGCGAGCACAAGTACGGCGACATCGACTTTGGAGTTCCGGGGATCATGCACCATGCCTGCCTGCGCTTCTCCAAGATGGGGCGCCCTCGATGAACTGGCCTCCATCCACGACGATGCATGTGCCAGTCACGTACGCGGCCTCGTCAGACGATAGCCAGACAACCGCCTTTCCTATATCAGCTGGCATGCACAGACGTCCAAGCGGCATTTGCTTTGCACTCTCTTCAAGAGTCTCCCTGCTGTATAGCCGAAGTTCACCTTCAGTGAAGGTCCACCCGGGTTGGACAATGTTCACGCGGATTCTGTGCCACATAAGCTCGTTCGCTGCAGAGCGAGCAAGATGATCAGAACCAGCTTTGGTGACATTATAATCGATTGCGTCCTTGAATGGTCCCTTAGAGTGTGGGGAGCCAATGTGAACTATGCTGCCATCCTTCCTTCCAGATTGCAGCATTCGCTGTGAGAACACCTGCATGCAGTGGAACACACCCACGAGACCTATGTTGAGCGTTTTGATAAAGTCTTCTGGTTTGGTTTCGAGGATGTTCGCCCGAGTACTTGTGACAGCATTCGTCACCAGGATGCTAACAGGTCCCAATTCTTTCTCGGCGACTTCAAACATGCGCTCGACATCATCGCGTTTGGATACATCAGCGCTGACAAGTACGACTCTTCTCCCAGCGGCCTCAATTCGTTTGGCTATCTCTTTGGCAGGTTGAATGTCACCTACATAATTAATACAAACATCCGCGCCGGCATGGGCGAGCTCGAGGGCAATACCTGCGCCAATTCCCTGCGAGCTGCCAGTCACAATGGCTACTCGGCCCAGACAGGGTGTTCGAACCCATCTTGCCCTTCCTTCTGGGATGGGCACCTCCTCTGCTCTAGTACACTCGTCGTATGCGAGCATTGTTGCCCCGGCTGCAGCAACTGCTGCACCGGCACGAAAGCATCGACTCGGCGGACGCATGGCACTCGTCACCGCCAGAGAAAATACACCCGGGAAGCTGGCATGATTGCAGCGAGCACCAGATGCGGCCGCAGCGCGAGCAGCCTTTCCCCCATTCCCTGTCGCGGAGCGGGAGACCGCAGACCACATTGCCGGCAGCCTTGAGACACAAACGACTGCGGAGACAGCGACCGCAAAGATGAGCGGCGAAAAAGGGCGTCGCGCGAGAGGGACTCAGCGGCCTCGTGCGGCAGTTTACCTAGGCCACCCGCGCAGGACACAACGTGGACACGAAGACGCTCACGCGTGACCTTGCGCGGGCAACTTACGCGCGATTGCACGCCCTAGTCAAACGCCATTCTTAAGTGGCTCAGGTCCCTCTCATCCTCCCCCTCCTCCTCCTCCTCCTCCTCCTCCTCCTCTTCCTCCTCCTCCTCCTCCTCCTCCTCCTCCTCCTCCTCCTCCTCCTCCTCCTCCTCCGCCACCGCCTCCGCTTCCGCCTCCGCCTCCGCCTCCCCCGCCTCCGCCTCCGCCCTCCTCAGCATCATCATCATCATCATCATCATCATCATCATCATCATCATCATCATCATCATCATCATCATCATCATCATCATCATCATCATCAACATCATCATCATCATAATCATCATCATCATCATCATCATCATCAGATTAATCCTCATCCTCATCCTCATTCTCATCATCATCAGCATCAGCATCAGCATCAGCATCGTCACCATCGCCATCACCATCATCATCACCATCATCATTATAATCCGAATCATCATCAGCATCATCATCAGCAGCACCAGCATCACGCCGACCATCATCATAATCATAATTTATCATCATTATCACCATCACCATCACCATACCATCACCATCATTATCATCATCAGCTGCATCAGCATCATCATCATCATCAGCATCATCAGTATCATCCTCCTCATCATCATCAGCATCAGCATCAGCATCACCACCACCACCAACATCATCATCATCATCATCATCACCATCACCATCACCATCATCAGCAGCATTAGCATCAGCTGCATCAGCATCATCATCAGCATCAGCATCATCATCTTCAGCATCATAATCATCAGCATCAGCATCATCATCAGCATCGTCAGCATCATCATCATCAGCAGCATCATCAGCAGCAGCATCAGCATCAGCATCATGATCAGCATGTTAACGTTTTTCGAACGAGGTTGGCCAGCGAATGTCTCTAAGGATGGGCCCGGGAGGCAAGGATGCAAGGGTACCCTTGGGAAGGTTGCCCATCCTTACTATGCGGGTTGACTGTAGCCCCCGGCTCGGTAACCTCGCGAAGCAGGAAATCGTCAGGCGGCCGAAACGAACATGCCCAAAATAGGATCGGGCTAAATCATGGATCTTTGGGATCCTACGATTCTGGAGGATGTTTCGGGCGCCGCGGCAATTTCAGAGCGTCCATAGCGCTCTCAGAGCGTTGCGCAACGCTCTGGAGCGATTTATCTCGTTCCTGGGCCTGTTTGGCACGTGGTTGGCTCTTTATGCCGGGCCGTCTTCTGATGGCCCCGGGGGCTTGAAGGCTGGCGACGGCGACGACGACGACGAAGATGACGACGACGACGACGACGACGACGGCGACGGCAACGACGACGACGACGATGACGACGACGACCGAAGTCACTACCACGACAACTGTGGAAGCGACCTCAGCGCCACCGCAAAGGGCCGCCGACGGCCGACTGGTGGCCGACCGATGGCCCCCGACAGCTGAACAATGGCTGCCGTCACGACCGATCGCCGACCGGTGGCCGACCGAAGGCAGTTCGACGGCAGCCGACGGCCCATCGATCGCCGAGCTGGCCGACCGCCTGTGGGAGGCGACGATGGGGGCGGATAGCCCAGGGTAGGGCACTATACCCATTCGCCCGGGAGCCTCGCCGAAGGCATGGACCATCGGCACCCTTAGATACGGGCATGTCTCCTCCCTGGCCTGATCGCCCCTATCGTCTTCCTCCACACCTGGCCATCGGAGCGCCTTCTGGCGGAAGTCTTCCAGCGCGATTTTTCTTGAGCCGCCAAGTCCAGGGACCCAGTCGCTAGGCCCTGCCGCAGGCGCCGCCGGGGCCCCACTGCGGGGCGCGGGCGCGGCGAGGGCGCTCGGAGGTGCTCCGCGTCAGCTGGCCTCGCTTGGGGCGGACGGGGGAGCATCGCCTCTTCTTGTTCTCCTTCTTCTTCTTATGTGTAAGATTGTTCTCCGGCTTCTGATTATTTGTGGTATTGTTTCCTTCTTCTTATTATTATTCGCATTATTCTCAATAATATTACCATTATTAGTATTGATACGATTCTTACTATTCTTCTTATGCTTAATCCGCCGATCCCTTGCGGGTCTCTAGGCGCGTGAGATTCTCCCCCCCCAATCCCCCCCAGGGACACCAAACCGGCAATTCTACCCCCCCGCCCCGGGCCGGGCCGGACCCCAGACCGAACGCGCCACAGGGCTCCAAAACTCACCAAAAAGGCACCAAAACTCGCCAAAAAGGTACCAAAACGCTCCCCGGACGGCCCCCGAGACCACGATTCGCCGACATAGCGCCCCCAGGCGCCCACCGCGACCTCCAGGCGGTCTCCGAATCTACCAAGACGCCCAAAAAAGCCCCCTCAGATGCGCCCCGAGAGGGTCACAAGGAACAAAAATCGGCCCGCTTCCTTCGAAAAGCACGCATTTCTCCGCATGCGCGCCTACTCGGCAATCACAACGTCCACAACAGGCAAAGAAACCCTCAACATCGCTCCCAGACGGCCAACGGGGCCCCAAAGCAGGGTCGCTGAGGGTCCAACAGCAGCCCACGAAGCCCCCAAGACAGCCCAAGAGGACCCCAGACGGCTCCAACACGGAGTCCACAGGGCACCTTTTTCGAGCCTTCAGCTCCAAGACGCCCCCAGCCTGCTCCAAGAACACCCCAAAAGGGCCTGCGGCACCTCCCAGAAAACCTCCGAGGCCTCCAAGCAGCCACGAGGAAGTCCCCAAAAGGCCCCAAAACTACCAGCAAAACGACCCCGTCAGGCCTCGCACGAGATCTTCTTCACCATCCGTGTGGCCGCCTACCTGTATACCGCGCAAGGTGGCGGGATGCGCCGCGTCCCATTCGACAACGACTCGTCCAGTTTTTGGACCGCCGCATGCCGTCTATGGGCGCGGGTGTTGACAGGTATGTTCGCCAAATCGTCACTCCTCCTCCTCCTCCTCCTCCTCCTCCTCCTCCTCCTCCTCCTCCTCCTCCTCCTCCTCCGATGACCCTCCTCCGCCTCTCCCCCATCCTCCCCCTCCTCCTCCTCCGCTTTCTCCTGTTCGGTACCATGTCACCATCTCCGCGTCTCCATCAACACCATCACCACCAGCATCATCATCGCCATCACCCGCACCATGACCACCGCCATCACCATCACCACCCTCACGGATCACCATCACCACCGCCGCGGATCACTGCCTTGTCGCGTGTCTGGACACATGTGATGCAACCCGCACCCGCCAACCCCATTCGGGGCCTCCAGACGTATAAGATTCGTCCCGTGAACGGCCGCACATGCCTCCGGACTCGCTCGGGGATGGCCCCGAAGAAACTCGAGCCCGCCCACCCAAAGAAACAAGACAACACAAGTACTCCCCAGGACAGCAACACGCCATCCCCAAGACGATCAAGGGGTCGGCGGATGTGGCGTAAGCCTATAGAATCACATTAGCATTGTTTTGACTATTCTTGTTCAAATTATCATTATTAATTTTCTTCTTCGTCGCATTATTTGTTTGTTTAACATTCGTCTTATACACAAAACGGGGGACCGGGTCCGGGGGCCTGGGGCCGGGGCCCCGACCGCAAATGTGGGGCCCGGGCCCCCGGCCCGCCTCTGCGAGGCCTGCAATCGCCCCGAGAAGCCCTCGGACAGCAATCCCGGCGAACGGTCTCGAGACACCCTCAAGACGCCGTCCAGGGGTCTCTGGGGACGCACGATGCGTTTTAAATTGCCCCAGAGGCCCCCAAGATGCCCCGAGAGGTCTTTAAGATGCCGCCCAAGATCGCCCCGAGAGGGCAAAATCGCTGATGTTCACTATATGTTTCCATATGTTTTTTGCATTCTCGCTGTTTCGTGTTTCCGGCGCTAAAGCACCGCCCAAGAGGCTCCCAAAACCGCTCCAAGACGGACGGCCCAAGAGGCCCCCAAGAGGGCCCCAAGACGGCCCAAGAAAGCCCCGAGACGGCCCCAGAGCCGCCCAAGGCGGCGCAAGAGGGTCCCAAGAAGGCCCCAAGAGGGGCCCAAGAGAGGGAACGCGAACTGAAAAATCAAGCTCTCCGCCCCAAGATGCCCGCAAGAGGCCCCAAGAGGCCCCCAGGAAGCCCCCAAGAGGCCCGACGAGGCCCCCAAGAGGCCGCACGATGCGTTTTAAATTGCCCCGGAGGCCCCCAAGATGCTCCAAGAGGCCTTTAGGATGCCGCCCAAGAGCGCCCCGAGAGGGCAAAATCTTTGACTTTCATCGATGTGTTCAATGTTTGTTGCATTCTCGCTGTTTCGTATTTCTGGCGCTAAAGCACCGCCCAAGAGGCTCCCACCACCGAAGACGATACCCGCAACTGCGGTACTCACAACTGCAGATGGTTGGCTCCTGCGCTTGGCTCAGTCTTAAACACCTACGTCGGATAGCCTGTTCCTGTTCCTGTACCCATGCGCCCACCCAGTATAACTCTTCGTGGCCCGACATGGAGCTCCACAGAAGGCTCCAGTGGCACCGTCCGCATGCTCCCCCCCACCCAGTACAGCGCTTCGGGGCCACATAGGGAGCTCAACCGAAGGCCCCAGTGGCACGTTCCGCATGCGCCCCCCCCCACAAAGTACAACGCTTCTTGGCCCCATAAGGAGCCCCACCGAAGGCCCCAATGGCACCGTCCGCATGCGTCTCGCCCACCCAGTACAGCGCTTCGTGGCCCGATATGGAGCTCCACTGAAGGCTTCAGTGGCACCGCCCGCCCGCACCCCACCCCACCCAGTACAGCTCTTGGGGCCACATAGGGAGCTCCACCGAATGCCCCAGTGGCACGTTCCGCATGCCGTCCCCAGCACAAAGTACAACGCGCCTTGGCCACATAGGGAGCTCCACCGAAGGCCCCAGTGGCACGTTCCGCATGCGTCCCCCCCACAAAGTACAACGCCTCTTGGCCCCATAGGGAGCTCCACCGAAGGCTCCAGTAGCAAAGTTCGCATGCGTCTCCCCCACCCAGTACAGCGCTCCGTGGCCCGATATGGCGCTCCACCGAAGGCTCCAGTGGCAAAGTTCGCATGCGTCTCCCCCACCCAGTACAGCGCTGCGTGGCCCCATAAGGAGCTCCACCGAAGGCCTTAGTGACCAAGTGCACATGCGTCTCACCCACCCAGTACAGCGCTTCGTGGCTACACAGGGAGCCCCACCGAAAGCCCCAGTGGCTCCGTCCGCATGCGCAACCCCGGCCCAGTACAGCGTTTCGTGGCCCATAGGGAGCTTCATCGAAGACGATACCCACAACTGCGGTACTCACAACTGCACATGGTTGGCTCCTTCACCTGGCTAAGTCGTTAAAAAAATATCCCGGCAAAGCAACCTAACAGCGATGTGTAGAAGCATATCTGGAAGCATTGCTTTGAGATTCATGTAGGAGTTCTGTTGTAGAATTCTGGTGTAATCGCAGTCGCAGTCGCAATGGCAATGGCAGTTGCAGTGGCAACGGCAGTCGTAGTCGCAGCCTCAGCCTCAGCCTGCCTCAGCCTCAGCCTGCCTCAGCCTCAGCCTGCGTCAGCCTCGGCCTCAGCCTCAGCCTGCATCAGCCTCAGCCTGCATCAGCCTCAGCCTCAACCTCAGCCTCAGCCTCAGCTTGAGCCTGCCTCAGCCTCAGCCTCAGCCTGCCTCAGCCTCAGCCTCAGCCTCAGCCTCAGCCTCAGCCTCAGTGGTGGATTCCCCATAGTCACTGGCGGCGCTGGGGGCCGCAGCATCAGCATCAGTGTTGGACTCCCCATAGTCACTGGCGGCGCTGGGGGCCTCAGCCTCAGCCTCAGTGGTGCGTTCCCCATAGTTACTGGCGGCGCTGGGGGCCTCCCTCAGCCTCAGCCTCAGTGGTGCATTCCCCATAGTCACTGGCGGATCCGCGGATTCTCCCCGGATCCTGCCCAGGCCCCCCCGGGGAGTCATGATGCTCTCTTTTGAGACCAACCTATCAGTCATCGCTGTTAGGTAAGTACGTCGGATAGCCTGTTCCTGTTCCTGTACCTTTCTTCCCTCTCTCCCTCTCCATCCTCGCATTCCATTATCATTATCCTTCTGAGGGCGTCCGAAAGCAAAGGAGCCCTGGAACGCCACGGCGCCAGGTCGCCTCGAGGACGACCCAGAAATCGCAGGCGTAGGTACAATAGAAGATGGCGAAGTTGAGCACCTGCCAGGCTGTCAAGGACGCGAGGTGATTCGGAGGCCGAGGGGAGGGGGGAAGCAACATGGGAGGAGGACAGGGAGGAGGACGAGTTCCACTGCGAGCAAGTGGGCAGGACCGAGGTGGCTACAGTCAGCCAACACTCGGAGACGGTTCGCTGGGCAGCCTTTCTGGCATCGATGCTGAGTAGAAATGCAAGCGTAACAGGCATCTGGACCAGACCCTCCATGCCTTGAGCTGGCATGGCAACTGTAAAGGGAGGAGGGGTAGTCGCAGCACTCATCATACACTTGGCCCCGCGACGAAACGCCTGCGAAACGCGAGCTGCCTCCTCAGTGCAGCGCGGCCAGAGGCCACTACATATTCGTCGGAAGGTGGTTCGTGCGCCCTGCAATTTTCGGCTCTGACATACATGACCGAGCTTGAAACATCGAGTAGCGGTATACGCCCCGCAAGTCGTATAGAAAAACAAAGTCGGCTCCATGACGCCAGACGTCGATGTGGACCTGAAATGTAAGCCAGAAATGTTGGTGATTCTCTTGCGATGGCAAGGGCTGACGACAACCCAGAGAGAAGCGACTGAGACAGACAGCCGGTCTTCCTGGACATCAGCCAAGAGGGCAATGACACCCTCCTCAGTCGCCCCGAGGACCTGGACACATGAGGATGAGGGGGTGGAAGACGTGCTGACCAGCCACAAGAGGATTCAGAGGACTCTAGATGTACCTGGCTGGATCCCGATGTTTCGTACGAGATGCCGATCAGCAAGACGGTTGATGCTCTGACCTATATAGGCTGTCGCTACGCCTGCAGATTGTACGAGGCGGCGGCCAAGTCCTATAGCCTCGCCATAAACGCTATACGAGCCTACGTCGTCGTTCCTCCTGAGCTAGACGAGATCATGGGTACCTGGCCCATGTGCATGGAACGCTCCAGCTGACTCCACGCCAACTCCCAAGACGATTCCTCAGTACTGCTGAAATTGGAAACTGTCATTGGTCCCTCAGAAGACCTGACTGGCGAGTTGCTCTCTTCAGCCATATCTATGACACTTATCAGACGATCCCAAGCGCAACACCAGCCACACATGGCCAACATGTCTGCAAATTAATGCTCAACATCATGGTTAGGGCCACTACTGCGAAAACCGAACTACCGTGGCACTGGCGTTCGCCAACAACCGCACTCCCACGCAGCTGTGGATCAGTGGCTCCATTGAGCACTTCAAGAAGCAGAGTCAAGTTGGCATGCCACCGGAAACGGTGCCAGCTGATCCTCCCGCCCTGCAGAAGACGACGGTCGTGGTAAAGCTCAACATCGCCTCTCGCGCCTGGTCGTTTGCGAATATGTTCTCCCGCTATACACGCAGACGCTATACGCTTTCTCGACCAAATTCAAGAACCGCCCTCGATGAAAACGCGGTGGTTAACTCGGAGGCTGGGCACATGCTCATTGGGCAATTCTTTCTTGGACTCCGTCGTGCAGGCCCCAGCTTCCTCGACGTCGGCCAGGACGTGAGCACCCCGCCACACATCCTCCGAGCGAAGGCGATCCAGTTTGCCGAGCAGTAGATCCGGTGGCGACCACAACGGGCCCTTGAGGGTCCTCCACGTGGGCGCGCATGCAAGAATGAGACACCCATTGGCTCAGTTGGCGCGCTCACGCTCTTCGCTCGCGATGTTCTTGACGTCGCGCAGTGCCTATCGGCAAGCAACTCTGGGTCGAGTCGGACGACACCTGGCCGCGCTGAATCGTGTGAGCCGCAGACTTAGGTCGGGCAAGTCTTCCTACAGGCGGGTTTCGAAAAAAACTCAAAATAGTCTCACACACACACACACAATACTCAAACATAGTAAAAAAAAAAAAAAAAAAAAAAAAAAAAAAAAAAAAAAAAAAAAAAAAAAAAAAATCTAAAGATCGTCTCCAGGCTATCTTTTGACTCTTTTCGAATATTCCTCCTGTAGAGGGACATGCCCGACTTAACCCTAGACGTAAGCGCTCCGCATCGCGGGGACAGGCGGGTCGGTCCACGTAGGCGAGATCAAGAATGCCTGCGACAACGTACAGGCACGGATACGGCAGTCTCTAGGTGCCCATCCCGCCTTCTTGCTGTGAGACGCCCCCGATCGCACTTGCCAATCACATTTCCGGTCATCTCCAGTTCCGGGAATGCCCTCAGTTCTGCTCGTCGCGACTGCTCGCTACCAGGGGTAGCTTGCCGTTGGAAACAATGGGCGTCTAAATCAAAATTTCACGTGCCCAAATGGCCCGCCTGTGGTGGGTCGCTCCCCCGCTTCCCCGCTGTGCAGTTTGCAGGCCTCCTGGTCTGCCATATTACCGTGGCACTTCAGGGCTGTATCCCAAGTGCCCGAGTTATGTCCTTGCATTTGATGATGTCAGACGCACGTGGTGTATGCGAAATAATATACAGCTTCTGTCACCCGATGTGGTTTCAGCTACGCGCAGCGTAGAATCCACTACGAGCAGTGTCCAAATGTCCAAACCTGTATGCAGCCACAGGCTCTCGTACACTGCTCCCTGTCCCAGCTCTCCGATCACATTGCGCAAATACATGGTAGTGTTGCTGCTTCTCTAGCCGCTGCGTGCGCCACAAATCCCCCGCAGGCCTCCACTCTGGACGGCCTCACGATGGACCGGCCTGTACATCAGCTCGATATGGGCATTACACAATAAACCGTTCAATACATCATTATCAGTCCGATGTCCGATCTCCTCCATTTCCCTCCCTCCTCCTCCACCCCCGATATCACCACTCCCTCCTCCCCCCTCCCCGTGCCTCCCCCCATCTCCCCTCTCCCTCGCCCTCCAGCAATAGGTCCATGCCGCTTTCCCATGTCCACTTCCTTCGCTTCCACTCATGAGGGGGGCCGAGGGAAAACGGAAGTGCGAAGAAGAGGGTGCGGCGTTGGCTTTTCTGCTATTGACATTTTTTGCTGTTATCAGAATCGATTAGGGGGCCGCATGTGAGCCCTACCCCTACCCCCCACGATTTCCGAGGGGGAGGGTGGGGTTCACTTCGTTCGGGAGCTCCCAGGCGAACTGGACCCCACCCTCCCCCTCGGAAATCGTGGGGGGTGGGGGTAGAGTTCGCGTGTGGCCCCCTATCGATGTCCTGCAACCATGCATGCAGAAGCACAGTGCCGCTTGCAGTATATGTTTGGGGCCTCGCAGGCGCCTGTAGGCGCCCACTGGCGGGGCACTGGATATCGTAGCACTGCATTTCGATAACCCACGTAACACAATGCCACTGTGAAGGGGCAGTGACACTTCAGCCGATGTACCGTCAGACGCTTTCGAACGAAGTGCATAGCATGTATTAGTTTCGCAAAGCTCTCCCGACGAGGTCGTAAGGTTGTACACGCGTTGTGATTCCGTTCCATCTGGACACACGCGCGCCAGCTCAGATGGAGAGGGGACGAGGGAGAGGAGGGACAGGGAGGAAGAAGGAGAAGAGAGGGACGGGAAGGGAGGAAGAGCGAGCAGCAGAGAGAAGGAAAAGGAGGAGGAACTTTTGGACGCCCGAAATGAGTACGGAAAAAAATGTATGACGCCCCACAACAAACGTTGTCCAAAGCGACAGCGCCCGCTGTTGGTCTGACGGCCTTCTGCTTGAGATGGACAACGTCCGCGGCGGCACCGACAGCGAACCCTCTCCAAAGTGGACAGGGCCTGCTGTTCGTCTTCGTGCCCATCCTTTCCGTACTCATGTCGGTCGCACCGAAGCTGGAGGAGCGGGATTAGCACGGGGGAAACTAGTCCCGAGGGAAACGGGTCCTGGACCCCTGGAGCCATCCCCCGGGACCACGCCTTCCTCCCGAGTCGTTTTCTGACAGTCCTTGGGACCCGTGGAGGGCCGCGGGAAGCCCAAGAACAGCGGAAAAACAACCCTGGACACCTTTCCCCCAGGACCCGTTCCCCCATGGGACGCACAGAGACATACTAATACTACATGTCTGCATTGGAGGCGCGCGACCGACTCGAACATATAGTAAACCCATCTTGTAGTACATCGTTTCCCGAGCGGTGTGGCCAGAAAGCGCCCGCCAGGACGCATATACTATAAGATGTCTCGGTGCGCGAGTCGTGGGGGCAACGCACACACACTATTAGTATGTTGGGGTGACACCGACCCCATGGCGACGGGGGGCTGGAGGAGGAAGAGCCGGCACCAGGGCCCACTGCGCGAACCCGATGGCGTTCTGCAGGCGGCCGCTGCTCTCGAGGCCGCGGGCCCACTGCCACAGGTGGAGCCCCACGGGCACCTGCCGCGGCCCGGGCGGTTCCCGCCCCTGCCCGCTCGATGGCTTGCCGCTTCTGCGCTCGTGCTCGGTCGCCCCACGGGAGAAGGATAGGGAGGAGGAGGAGGAGGAGGAGGAGGAGGAGAACGGGGAGGAGGAGGAGGAGGAGGAGGAGGAGGAGGAGGAGGAGGAGGAGGAGAAGAGGAGGAGAGGAGGAGGAGGAGGAGGAGGAGGAGGAGGATGAGGAGGAGGAGGAGGAGGAGGAGGAGGAGGGGAGGAGGAGGATGGGGAGGAGGGGTCAAGCCGCGGCGAAGGGGCGCAGGGGCCTGATACCGAAACCTCCAAACCAGCACACCAGATTACAGGGGCAATGTGTTTCCTCTCCCTCTCTCTCACCCTCTCTGACCCCGGAGGTGCGGCATCCCAGGAACGTGCTTGCGGCCTGCGGGCAGCCAGATGTCTCGGCGGTTTGTGCTCGATGTTCATCCCAAAAGGTGCAAGACTGCAGGGTGCCAAAGCTGCCGCGAGCCGCTCGACGTTGGCGAGCTACGGTGCTGCCCACTGGCGAAGGCCCACCGTGGTGGCGGTGCGCTCCTTCACCTTGATTGCGTACATGGCGGTATCCATGCAGGCGACATCGTGACGAAATACGCCGACGGTGTCACGGAAGCGCAGCTCCAGGACGTCGTCAGCCGTGGCGCCACCGTTTCCCTCGACGCCGAAGTGCAGGCGGCCGCCCCGTAGACCGATCCCCCCGAACTGCTGGACCGCGGGCCCTTCGAAGAGAACATCCTGCGCAAGTTAGATTGGTGGGACTCTGCGGATGTCGAGCAGGCCTTGCTGTGCACAGTGCGGACTTGGGAGGGCGCCCATCCTTCCCTCGACCATTCACTGGAGCAGGCCAAGGGTGCTGTCCTCAAATGTGCCGCTGAAGCTGGGCCGGGCCGAAAGCGGGGCTGGCGCCTTCTGATGCTCTTCGACCGCCTCCTGCACGCCCGCATGCCGGCCAAATTGCGACCCCAAGATGCCACTGCGACGCAGTGGCGCAAACGAGTAGTCGTGGACCGTCTACGGCTCTTCTGGCGGGGCGACTGGAAGGCTTTATGGGACATCACCTGCAGGGCGAACTTCAGCGATGAGCCCCCCGAGGACGACGACTTGAAGCGCCTGGTCGCCCGCATCGAGGCACTCGGCGCGGCAAACGAGCGGAGCAAGGCGCACAAGGCTGCCGTTGGCTCCGCCCCCCTCGTCACAGACCCGAACGAGCTGGACAACGCCAAGGGGAAGTTCCCTCCCGAGCAGGTGCGCCGGCCCGAGCCCAAAGTCGGACACGTCGATGAACACAAGGACTTCTGGGAGGCGGTTGGCCGGCAGGTGCAACGGGACTGCAAACAGGTGCCCCGCAAGGCAGGTCCTTCCCTTGATGGCAGCCGCTTCGAGCATTGGGCATCCTCTTCGGCGGACTCCGACTACGCAAAGCACCTCGCCATCGCGGCCGTCCAGTTCGCCAGCGGCCAGGCGCCGGATTTTGCGCACCGATGCGCACGAGCTGGGCGCTTGCTCATCCTCCGCAAGAGCGACGGCGGCATCCGCCCCTTGGTAGTTGCAGCTTCCCTTGACATCAAAAATGCTTTCGGCTCCATGAGCCGCGGTGTCATGGTCGACGACGTCGTCACTGCGTTCCCGGAGCTGGCGAACCTCGCGCCCACCTTGCACTGCACGGACACGCCCCTGATGCGGAAGGATGGCGACGGGGAAGTTCAGACCGTCACCGAGCAGACTGGCATGGACCAGGGGTGTCCTTTCTCGCTGCTCGCCTTCGTGGTCGGCCCCAAGCGGGCCCTCAACCGAGCACGCGCCCTCCTACGAAACGCTGGCCTCGACGGCGGTGTCCGCTCTCGGGCTTACGTCGACGACATATATGTCACATGCGCCGCTTCGCGCCTCCCCGCGGTCCTCGCAGCCTTTCGCCAGGCCTTGGCCGAATCCGGCATGACGCTCAACGAGTCCAAACTGAAGCTGCGGGGCGTCGAGCGCAACATTCTGCCGATGGACCTCCAGCAGTACCACGTGGAGACGCCCCAGGCCTTGGCGCACCCTGTCGAGCGATCCAGCGGAGGACGAGGAGTCTGAGGTCGAGGACGCGTCGGCGTCGCGCTTCTTACCCTTCTTACCCTTCTTCTTTTCATCATTCTTGTCCTTCTTCTTATTATCCTTCGTGTCATTCTTCCTGTCCTCCTTCTTGCCCTCCTTCTTGTTGCAGTCCTTCTCCCCATCCTTCGGGTCCTCCTTCGGGTCCTCCTTTGCCAGGCGCAATTGCACAGAGCGTGCAAGCAGGTCCTCGCTCACGAACACCATGGCGCTGCTCCCGAGCATGGCCTCGACGGCACGCCCCACGAGAAACGGCTCGAGCACCTTCGCGTGGTGGTCGTCGAAAGTCAAGGCCAACACACTGCACCCGCTCTCGATGCAGCCGTGCATGCCTGCGCCGCCCGCAGGCGTGCCGAAGTACACCCACCTGGGCTTCCCCGCCTCGTGGCAGAGCTCCTTGAGGAGCTCGATGTCGTTGTCGCGCGGGAACCACGGCACCTCCGTTCCCGTGAGCTGGCGGTAGAGCTTCCGCTTCTTCACGGCCGCAGTCACGAGGGCCTTCTCGGGGCGGACGGCTGTTGCAGCTTCGTCGCGCGCCTCGGCGCCACAATCAGCGCCCTCGTCCTCCTGGAGAGGGTGGCAGTACCCCAGCTCCCCTCGCTCCTCGGCCTCCACCTCGGCGACGCACTGGCCGACCATGCTGGCCAAGCTGGTCCCCCGAACCTGCTGCTGCGTAAGCTTCTGCTGCCACTGCTGTGCTCCTGCTGTTGCAGCTCCTGCTGTTGCAGCTCCTGATTACGCAGCTCTTGAGCTGTTCCAGCGTTTCCAGGTGTTCTCTCCTGCAGCTGTTCCAGCTTCTTGCTGATGGCCTTCACTTTGCCATTGCTCTCTGCTCTCTCTGCCCTTGAGCGTGGGCTTCTTCGACGACCTCTAATCATCCGCTTCATCGTTTTCCGCTTCGGGGCGCAGCTCGGGTGGGGCACCACAGCGTTCATGATCTTAGAGCACCATGCGGCCTTCTCCTCATCAGAACTCTGTGGACAAGCATTATGCCACCAGAGATGATTATCCTTTACATTCTTGGTGTGGTCCGCCGACATCTGGCGCGTCGGGGCTGCCCATTTCTCGCGCGGTAAACAAAACCACCAGGGCCCCTTAGGTTCTCCACTCTTCATCGAAACGTACTCGCGAACTTCTAGCCATGGCGCATCAATGGGTCCAGTGTCAGGGTCCATGATGACGGTTCCTGGACATGGGCCAGGCCTCCCTGCGCTGGCCCCCATTTCTGACATGGCAGCCTGCAGGCGCTGCAAGAAATGCCTTGAGCCGAGGTGCCTGCGCTACAGGAAAGCTGGGTGATCTGATACATGGAACCAAGAGGGGTCCAGGAGGCTATTGTTTTGTGGGCTCCCGAGGGGCAGTGCGATTTGAGGGATCCCCCTTCGTTGATCGATTTCCCTCACATGGTAGAGCTCCCAGGGAGCTCTCACATGGCATGTTAGAGCCCCCAGGGAGCTCTAACATGGCATTTTAGAAGAGCTTCAGTGAGCTCGAACAAGCTAGGTTAGATATCCCTGGGAGCTCTAACATAGGATGTTAGAGCTCCCGTGGAGCTCTAACATGCTATGTTAGAGCTCCCGTGGAACTCTACCATGGCATGTTAGATCTCCCATGGAGCTCTAACATGCTATGTTAGAGCTCCCACGGAGCTGTAACATACAATGTTAGAGCCCCCAGGGAGATCTAACATACTCTAACATGCTATGTTAGAGCTCCGTGGGAGCTCTAACATGCCATGTAGGAGCCCCCTGGAGCTGTAACATACCATGTTAGAGCTCCCTGGGAGCTCTAACCTACCCGCCGCCGCCGCCGCCGCCCCTCAACCGTTTTACAATCGATTGCGCAACGGTTAAGACCCCCCTCTCGCCAGGGGGGTCTTAACCTTTGCACAATCGATTGTGCAAAGGTTAGGCGCTCCGCCGCCGCCGCCGCCGCCGCCGCCGCCGCCCCCCCTTGAACCGCCTCACAATCGATCGTGCAACGGTTCAGACCCCCTCTCGCCAGGGGGGAGCCTTAACCGTTGCGCAATCGATTGTGGAACGGTTAAGCGCCGCCGCCGCCGCCGCCCCTCAACCGTTTCACAGTCGATTGCGCAACGGATAAGGCCCCCCCCTCTCGCCAGGGGGGCCCACAACCGTTGCGCAATCGATTGTGAAACGGTTAAGCGCCGCAGCCGCGCCGCCGCCGCCGCTCCGCAACCGCTTAACCGTTTCACAATCGATTGCGTAACGGTTAAGACCCCCCTCTCCGCCAGTGGGGGGCCTCAACCGCTGCGCGATGAACGGTTAAGGCCCCCCCCGGCGAGAGGAGGGGGTCTCAACCGTTGCGCGATCGATCGAATCCTGGTTAAGACCCCCCCCCCCCCTCGCGATATGGGGGTCTTAACCGCTCCGCGATCGATCGCGGAACGGTTAAGACCCCCTATTGCGAGAGGGGGGTCTCAACCAGGATTCGATCGATCGCGCAACGGTTAAGACCCCCTCCTCTCGCCAGGGGGGGCCCAACCGTTGCGCAATCGATTGCGACACGGTTAAGGGGCGGCGGCGGCGGCGGCGGCGGAGCGCTCAACCGTTTCACAATCGATCGCGCAACGGTTAAGACCCCCCCCTGGAGAGGGGGGGGGCCTTAACCGTTGCGCAATCGATCGCGCGGGCGGGGGTCTAACATTAGCAAGTCCCTGGGAGCTCTAACATCGCATGTTAGAGCTCCAATGGAGCTCTAACATAGCATGCTATATAATGTTAGAGCTCCCTTGGAACTCTAGCATAGCAAGTTAGAGTATGTTAGAGCCCCCTGGGAGCTCTAACATAGCATGTTATACTATGTTGGAGCTCCCTGGGAGCTCTAACATCGCATGTTAGAGCTCCGTGGGA